TGTGGCTCCTGAAACATTGCGCCGTAGTAAATGTAATGGACAAGTTGGATAACAAATAAGGAGCACGATCGGACGATAACCTGGTCGTAACCAGTGGCAGATATTTTTCATTTCACGGATTTAGAGGTTTCAGGATTTACGACCGCAGTTACCCCCTTCCAGCAAACTCAGTTGCTTCGTTCTTCCTTGCAACTGTAGTCGTTACGCCGAATACTCGAGCAACTTCGGTCTTTCTCTCAACACACTTTATTACGTCTCAATGTTATCACTTCCATTCATTTCTTTGAGTACAATGAGCAATAATCCTGCAGTTTATTCTCGTTACCACGAAAATGGCCACTGAATAAGAAACAGGTCTCGCTTACCTCAACAATAGGAACAGAAAAATAATCTTAGACAGAAATTGCGATAAATTCGATCAGACTTCCTAGACAGAAGATTTTAACAGCTCGAAGCTGTTAATAAATTTCAGCTGAAACTTCATACCTCTCGCATCTGTCGTGCAACGATAAAGGGGATCTTTGTCTATTCGACATGATGGATTATACGTGGCATCACGCGAATAGGGTTCCTGGGGTCCTCGTGTGACAAATTGAACACAATGTTTGCTATGAATTCGCGTGTAGTCGTGTTAACTCATCGAGACATCACCGAAATAGGAACGTGTTACACAGAACGTATATAGAAAACTGTTAGCCCTCTACGTTAATATGCACCATATTATTTTGCGGAAAAGTTCTTCGCTCTGTACCACGATTCTTTCTCTTAACCTTCTTTTAATTTCTAATTTCTAAATAATTTGCAATTTTTTCACGGTCTGTTCAACCATATATATTCGATAGCAGCTGCTCGAGAGTATTCTTTTTCCCGCGTCAGCGAGACGCCATTTTTCACCTACCCTTAATCCGATCCGGCGCCAGGTTATTCCAACGAGACAATCAATCCCGCGATATTCCGGCTGCCAATGGGATCACATCCGTTCCATGATTGCTCATCGAACAATCGAGTCGAAAAATCAGCGATGCACACGTTCGCGTGTTCATTCGAAATACTAGGATTTCGAGTTTCGCGTTCGACGAGAAACAAAAGAGAAGTATAAACATGGAACTGGAGGTCGGTGTGCGATAAAATCCAACAGGACGGATTCACGGCGTGAATTTCGAGCGTATAAGAGAGCCGCTTAAAGGTAAAAGTCGTGACTCGCGATCGACGAACTCGCTCGGGCAACGATCGCCCCTAACGACTCGTCTCATCGAGACTTTTCAATAAGGATCGTGTTAATAGATGGCCCCGGGACATGCAGCAACGAGCGTGGCGAACGGGCCCGATGCTCTCGCGTATTCCAACGGGAAACGCGACGCGAATCGTCGATTGAAAATTGTGCAATTTCGATTCGTTTCGATCGGTGAACGTCCGCGGTCGCTTCGACTGGCCTCCGGTGTCCCATACATAATGCCTCTTCGAGTCTGTTCATTGGCAAATGACGTGGCGTTGGAAAATGCTGGCCGATGATTCGTAGTCGTTACTCAGTGAGGAATAGTTCCTTCGCGTGTCTTTGCCCGTGAAAAATCACTGGCTTTACGTTATCTTCGCCGATGGTTTCGAATTTTTCTTGAACCAGTGTAACGTGTTAAATGGAGCGAAGAAGGAGTCGGCCCGTTAGGAATAAGCCAAGTATCGATTCCTACGGGTCTAATATCGCTAAGTATTGTGTAACAAAAAGTAGAAGGTTCGAAAGAGATAATGGGATGCAATTTATCTCACGATCCCTCTTCTCGCTATGGCAGGAAAGTTTCCGTGATGTAACAGGCCTCTGATATATCGACGACCTGGAACGATCGGTATTTCGTTAATATCGGCTTATCGTAGCATAGCGATAAAATGTCTGATATAATAATCGCAGAATTTTTAATAGTCACGTAGCTTTTATTATGCCCATTAATTAAACCGATTGCTGTGGACGCGCGTGCGCAGCAGCGGGATAATTTGCGGCGCTGCAAAGCCGGTGCTGTCGTTTGAAAATTACTCATAGAACCGTTATTGTCCCGTAAGCGGAGGGATTAACGACGTCGACCGGCGATAGATATCCGTTGAAAGAAAGAAAAACTCGCTCTCCTTGTCCCGACGCGGCCAATTACTCTAGATTCTTTACTTTCGCGAGAAGCCCCGTGCCCCGAGTCCACGAGCCGCGCGTGCGAGTGCGCGTGCGCGCAAGATCGTGGCATAATTTCCAACGAATCGAGCCGGCCGATTAACCAGGTATTCGAATTCATATCCGCGACACCTGCGTGATCCCCGAGTTTTTCTTCCGTTTCTCAGTCCAGAAACGTTGCATTGAGAAACCCCGCGGTAGCCACGCAGCTGCGTGTTTCGAAATCGCTACAGTTTTACGTGGTAGATAGGCAAAGTCCAAATATACGTGTCGCGAAACAGGAACGACAAAAACGTGTCTCACCTGAGGAAGATGTCTAGTCTGGTCTAGCGAGACGATAATAACTCGAAAGTACTCATCGAGGGGTCTAAACAGTTCCATTGGAACGAATCCTAGAGAATGGATCGTTGAGGGCGAAGACCTGGGTGGTTTAAGCCCCGTTTCCAACAGCCGCAACCTTGGTCTCGTGTAACAAAAGGGCGGTGACAATACAGGGGGCACACTGCTGCGTGACGCCGGACCAGACAGGCAGATTAAATGGGGCGCCCATGCACCAAAGTGTCACGTGTTTAATAGCAACCAATTCATTTTCCTCCAACGAATGTTGCCAAGGGTGCTTTTAAATCGAAACGATTAATTCCAACGGCTTGACGCGTTTAAACATCCCCGAATGTACAATCACGTGCCCGAAATGATCTGAATAAATAATTCAGAAACGCAGATGTGTTAATCCCATTTCGAATCTCTGAAAATATTCCTCCGTCACCCCTGCTTACCTTTCTAATTTATCCAGACACGCTGTACGTAATTCCCGAGTCACACTCTGGCTCCCAACTACTTCCTCCCGGCCGTAGATGACGGTATCACGCCGTATGCAAAACGCGTCGTAGATCAAACGAATATCCTATTGTCTGTTAATAAAACTATCGTGCGCTGTCAGAACTGAGTCATCGTTGACCCGGTTCACAAGCGGGCTGCGCCGAGCGTAATGCAACCGCTTACCAGCTCGCTCCTAGACGCTCACTCGAAGACGAATTCCTGCGCGACCGCGCGAGTTCCAGGTCGCCTCAGCCATTTCACCGATCCCTTGGCGACATCGCGAGGAAGCCCCGTCACGACGCCTTGGTATCCCTGTTTCCACTTGTTCTCATCCTCTTTCGCGCGTCTTCCTACCCCACGCTCACCTCTGTTCTTCCTACGAGGTTCGGCAGCCTGGAACGATTCATAGTCGCGTTCAATCGCGGTTACTAGGCTCGAATGTGCCGCAAGGTCGGCGTAGCTAAGATCTGGCCCGATCCCACGGCCTTGAATCAGCGCGGGTGCTTGTAACGAGAGTAATAAGGCCCGGACAGCACACGAAACCCGCTTCCGCGAGCGTGCAACGAGAACTCGCTCAGGCACACGGGAGGGGAAACGACGCTGGTAATTGAAATCGTTATTCACGTTGATTTAGAAATGTGGTCCCGATCAGCGTGGATACACGACGAGTGGAGCCATATTCGTAGTTACATGCTGATGCAAAATGCTCGGTGAAACCAAGGTTTCCTGACTAGCAGGAATTGAGATTTTCCCGTGGTTCTAGACGTGATTTGAAATTTATATCGACAGGAAGTTTTGCTTTTTGTATCAGTCTGCGCGAAGTGATGGATTAGGGGAACCGGTGACCCTAGATGGTAAGAGGAAGCAAGGGTACTTGGATATTTTGGCCGAGGAACTGGGATTTTTGTGTATTTTTAAAGGTGATTTGAAATTTATATCGGGTTCAGAAACTGGGACTGAGAAATTTATATTCTAAGGAAATTATACTCCTTGTGTCACGCTTCACAGAGGATTACTGGAAATTAATGACACTTCGTGGAGTATTAGTGGGACGTGATGATGCAAGATGGTAGAAGAAATCAAAGGTTCTTGGAGTATTTTTAAAACGAGCTTGGAATTTATATTTATAGAAATGCTTCGAGGAGATGATTCAAGGAGAATTAGTAGGTACTATGTAGAGCAGTTAAATAGTAGAAGAAGTCAATGATTCTCGTATTTGTGTTCAGGGATTAAGATGGTCCCGTTCTTTATCTTTTAACGATAATTTGAAAACGGTAAATTTTTTTATATGAATTATTTTTAGAAATCATAGCCCTTACACTCCCACTCATATTTATATCAATACTCACATTTACACTGAGGTATAATTACCAAAGTCGATGTTGCCAATGAATGCAAATAAATGTAAAAATAACCCTCTTCTGCTTGTTAAACGGGATAGGTCATAGGTCGTTACGTTGGTTAAATACTAACCGTGGTGTCGCGATTGTGGTGTCAGTGTCAATGCACGATGATGCATCGTTTCTGTACAATAACGGTATGAAAAGGAATAGATGATAGATATAATCTGATGGAGACCAGATTTAGATATCAAGATCTCCAAGAAAGCCACTTGACCTCCCATCTTAGAGTTCAAATTTCTTTGAGGCGGCAAAGAAGTGGGAACGAAACGTTGAGGATTGGATGCAAACGAATTATTTCAACTCTGGCAACCTGTAACATACAGCTAAAAAAAATTGAATCCTGCCAAATGTTAGATAATTCAAACATGCATCAATTTACGGGAAAATAGAATTGTTCGATGTATACCAATGTGTAAATAAATAAAAAATATATAGTTTGCTTCAGTTTTCACTACTGATATTTTCATGTCTCTGTTGTACTGAACATAGCTACACGTATTTTATTAAAAATTAAAAAGTTCTAAATAAAACAAACTCGAATGATGTGCTAATTGGTGCATCTATTCGCTGATATTCCTTCGTTTCCTAATTCTTTTCTATTGTCCTTTTCAGAAGAATTTTCTAGTTTATGATGACCTCAATACCGTAAAATATGAAAGAGAAGCTTTCATAATCTGAAAGATATAATTATTCTCGAATGATTTCCAGTAAATATTCAAAGAATAATTATCGGTAAACTATTACATTTGAGAAACTTTCCAAATTCAGGATAAACATTCCGCCTGCTGACAGAGTAGGAGGACTTATGCAATTTCTTAATGCAAGTACAAGCAACAATCGTGTCTTCTTATTAACATTATACCACAACGCCTCGTATCTGTAAATAATAATAATTTAATAATAATAATTTATCAGATGGTTCGTTAATAGATTTAAATTTAATTCACGAAATATGTTGCTAGAAACCATAGTGTATCAAAATTTCTTATTATGTTTTTCAATATAATAAGGGATCTTGAAATGTATTATTTCTTGTGTATTCGTTACCCACACTGATTCGATGACAGCATCGTTTGAGTTCACTACAGACTGACCCTGCAGTGTCATGAAAAGCATATGCATCAATTGAACTACAGAGAAAGTGTAATCCTTGATCATCTCTTTAGAATATCCTGACTGTGATATCTGTTTTTAAGCAGTCGTTTGCACAATGATTCTTTCGGAACAATACCAGTTTGCAGGTTGAAGATCTTACCTTCGCCAACGTCACGACGAAGCTCATCATTATTACACCGATGATGATAAAACTATACGTTTTGTAGCTGGTTTCGATAATTCTTAAATAGCTGCTTTGAGATCATTGGAACAGGATGAATGAGCCATCATCAACGACGCGTTTAATGACATGAAATATGCAAGTAAAAGTATAATATGTCCTCTTAAATATTTCTAAACTATTCTTTATAACGCTTGAGAATTTTAGTTTTAAAAATCAATCGATTAAAATAGTGAAAATTTGTTACAGATTGCACTTAGAACTCCTCTCCTATGAGTTCGATCGCTGGATGGCTAAAAGCTTCCAAATGTTCACGACTTAGAATTAGGTTAACTCTTTGACTGCCACGCCGAAATCGCATGTTTCCCTCAGGATGTCACGGGAGTGCACCGTTAGATGCAAGATTTGTTCTAATATATTTTTGTTTAATATTCTAATAAAAATTTTTAATTGTTCAATGTTGCACTCCCTATTTCAAAGTGTCTTCTAATTAGTGGTTATATTCGAAATATACTAACTGTTAATTTTCATTCAATTTTTGCAATTGCACTATGCAAATACCTCGAGCTCTTTGGTCACCAATGACCATCATGGAGTCACAGGAGAAACCGTGGCCGGTCATATACGACCAACGTGGCAGTCAAAGTGTTAAATCGTACAACGCGTTAATTAAAAAAGGATTAAACATTGCATAAATATAAATATACTTATAATACATTTATAAATATATTATGCTGTCAAAAATTAAAAATTATAGAATAAACAAAAAGACATAAATTTTACCAACTTTGTAGCATGCTGGTGTGCCTGAATCGAATGACGCACCCTTAGATAAAATTTATCCTGCGAAACGCTTAATTCTTGAGTATTAGACAGGTCTAGGATAGCATGCTTGAAACGATATCTGCGAACGAATATGATCGTTTCAGTCTCAAATACCACACGCAAATGTTATTTATGCAACTAAAATTATTCCATTCAACTTTTTACCCAGTCACTGCTAACTGCCCACAGGCGTGTTGCACGATGTACATATAACTCATGTCGCAGCTAACGTACACGTCACACGACAGCATAAGCATTAACACCATATGCAGGACTATCACTGTACGATACTTATCTTCGTCGATAAAATAATAAGCTGGATATAAGTATCCTATATTACGCGTTACGTTCTTCGTTGAAACAATGTCCAAAATATACGGCGTTACCAAAGCTTGAGTAAAACACACGAAGCATACAGTTGCGATCACTATAACAAAACGAATCGATCATGTCATAAATCGATCCGTGAATCAAATCGTGAAATAACATTATCGATATTCGAAGTGATCTTACGAAGGTATATTCGACAAAACAAGGCTCCTTTCTCGGCGTAAGTGATCATGATGTCAAGTTCCTCTTTGGGTCTGTCGAGTGACCAATCTTTCCACAAGACGCCAAGTAAAGCGTTGTACTGCAATTTTATCAATCTCGAGTAAACAGAAGAACAACAGGTAACAGAAAGTTAAACCTAAGATGAGAAATCCTCTTACGCGCATGTTGTTAATAGTATAGTTTCCGTGCTTCACCAATATCAAGATTATCACTGATAAGAAACGCAACTGTTGTATTAGGGTATCTATGGTATAGTAGTACACGATGTACGATATCTGCAATTAACATCGATTAATCGTGAAGAAGAAATTCTTAACTACTCCTATAACGGCATGTCACTCGTTGCATAATTAACCCTCTGCTATAACGTCTTTTGACTACCATGGTCGGCATAATGGACGTAGCCATTAAAAAATTGGAGAAAAATCTGATGTATCGATTAAAGTGGCTTTAAAAACGTTATTAACCGATCAAGTACTCCACCCCTTCCTTTCGGAGAAAATAAATGAAAACATTTTATAGGGTTACGTTACATGCTTTTGAATACTTATATTTCTTAATTTATATTTTATTTATTTATCTCTCAAAATTCCTCATTTATAGCAGATACTAATCTTTGATTTCCAAGTTACAATGGGAAACTATAACGAGTAAAAATTTCTTTCTTTCAACGTTACTAGACGATCCCTGATTCCATGACAAACTCTTCGAAAAGCTCACGATGCTTCCTCAGTCATGCAAAATATAATAGATTTACACTTGGATACCTGTGTAATAAGACACGTAATACAGATGATCAAGACACACGCTCCCAATGCAAATTTCGAAACAGCACTCTGGCTGGGCCAAATTCCGATGAATCTGCTCAATATCTTGATCAATTTCATGTACTTGTTCTCCACCATGAACCTGTCCATGATAAAATCGACAGTGATCTGGAGATTATGTTGCTGCACGTAGGGTTTACACGCGAAGGATAGCAGGAAAATTTGTTGACTGATATTGGCTCTACAGTTTCCTGCATTTATTCGAACGACGCGCTATGTACTTACTGTCACTGCTACCTTCGCGAAAGAGTGCTGATTATATATTTATTCCACCTTGTTAAATGAATGGCTTTAAAGTATCTGCAACAAAAGTAACTCAATGACACGGTCAATTGGATATTAACAATTAATACAAAATTATACATGCCTTTTAGAGTAGTTTCTACTATTTTTCATGAAAAAACCATCGACGCATTACCTACTTTGTCAGAAAAGAGTAATTGCTTTGAATATTTTAAATAAATTTTATGCTCGGAGACCTGAAAAATATGCAGCTGGGTTTTAAGAACATTCGCATGAAAAATGGCACGGTATATAAGTCAACATAGAGCGAGTATCGAAGAGATCTAGACGGATTTTCTTCTCGCTACCTTCTTCATCAGGCCATGAATAGTCGAAAGATATTTGTCCCTCGTTTGTGTTCTCTCTGTGAGAAAGTGCCGCGAGCTTCGTTCACGTTTAAGCTGACATACTCCCACGGTCCAGATTCCAGGTTAATATTTTGCAACGAGATTAATAAGCGCCCAATGATACGTGCGTGAATAGTTCACACTGTTGCCACGATTAATAATGCTAATTTTTGTGACAACAACAGTGATATTTATTTCCATTTGTCCGAAAAATCAGTGACTAATGAAGTTATTCGAGGCAGAGGTGAGGCTGAATCACGGATAAATTTAAGTTCAATTTAATTAATCTAATATGCAATAAGTGATGCTCGAATCTTTCAAGATGCGAAGAAAATAAAAAGAAACCAGTTTTTTCGAATAATTATATTTGTATTTTCATATATCTGTTCTATATCCAGATAATGTTAAATATATTTTATACAATTATTTTAAACATCAATCGCTAAGTTATCGTTGAAAAATTATTCTCAGTGACGAATGCGTTATAGTGAATTATACATAAATGTCAATCTCGTTTGCCCATCATGTTGATTTTAGTACTGTGTAATACGATATGGATAATTTGACCACCTGGAAACGTCAACGTTGCTTTACTGAATGTATGGCCATTATTCGAGACGAAAATATTAATAGATTACTTCAGAAAAAGTTTGCATGTTCAATTCTATCACGCGGCCAGCAGTTAAACGAGGTAAAGATAGACTTCTTCGCAATGCAAGTATGTATAATGCTTGCGTTCTTGAATTAGAATTGTACCATAATGCTTCGTATCTGTGAATTTCAAAATGTCAAGCGACGCAAATAACCACTAGATTAAAACAAGAATACGTAAATTCGAAATTTCTCCTTTCCAGAACGTAATGACAATTATGGGAATTTTCTATAAAAGGAGGAAAACTAAGATGACAGTTTTATTAATTCATTTCGCTGCTCAGAATTTTGTCATAGTTAAAATTCGATTAACCCCTTGGATTACGCTGAAACTCGGAAAAAGCCGTACCAAACCAAGCGCCCGAGTAGTCGGGAAGGAGCCGAAGGAGCGAGATAACCGCGATACCTTTCGAGATATTCATACTTGACCCGAGATTAATACCACGAGTCAAACTCGAGATATTGATGTTTCGCCCGAAAAGTCGATTACGAGTCACACTCGTGATATTGATGTTTGGCCCGAAAAATCGATCACGAATCAGACTCGTGATATCCACGTTTGGCATAAAATTAAACAACGAGCCTGACTCGTGATATCCAAGTTTGGCCTAAAATTGTCATCATGAGTCAAATTCGTAAAAATAGTGCAAGGGGTTAAAATAAGACAATTTTTTAATTTCTTTATGAGCATAATCGCTATAAAATTCACTCATATACTTTTACTCACATTGAATCGTAAACCTCATCGGATGCATTTATAACGAACTGTCCTTGAATCATTAAGTAGGACAGGTGCATCATCTGAACAATTAAAAAGCTACTATACTTCAAAAAGTCCGAAGAGTAGTCCATCGTCACGACCTAATTTCACACAATCTATTGGTGCATCGATATCCCATATTGGGTAATGCGAAAACAATTTAAAGAGCTCACCTTTAGCAGCGTGATACCAAAGCATACGGTTATTAAGCACATGCAAATAAAAAGGTAAATAATGTGCGCACTCTCAATTTCCTTTAAATACCTGTTCCAAAATCACAATCAAGGGAAGGTGTTTCTCAATAACAATAAAAATTTTTAGATAAAACAAATATATACATACATTTATATCTATAAAAAGAAATAATTTGAAATGAAAACCTGATACTGACGTAATAGCTCGTTCATGCCCCTGTATAGAGAAACGCACCCTTTGGTATGCCTTTTTTATGCTCTCCTCTGAGATGCTTCTATTACTAGAAAGATCATTGATCGCGTGTTTGAAGCGATGTCTGAGAACATCCATTTATGCTCATTGAAGAAAATTTCGTATATTTTTAGAAAAATGGCTAATACACGAATTTTTTATCTTACTCACCCAGCCACAGACAGCAGTCCGCAAGCATGCTGTACGATGACCACGTAACTAGTGTCACAACCGATAAACACGATAACCACTGTAATTACTGCAATGCTCATTTGTAGCTGAATGTAATAATAATATTTACGGTCGTCCTCAACGAAATAGTAACCTGGTATAACATTTAACATGGGTAGGGAAGCGTTCTGAGGACTAAACGTGTATAATAATCGTGCTGTCCAGGGCACTGTTATGAAGAGGAAGGAGCAAGTGAACGCGTTTACTGGAATTAAATCATTGCTGTTTTAATTACGGGCTAATTAAGTCTGAAAAGTAAGATAATTTGGTAAACCTAATTGTCTACGTTGTGTTAGTTCCTCGTAATTACGATTGATTAGCGTTCGGTAATTATGAAAATAAATTGACTCGCCAAGATAGAACGACGTAAGAAATGATCCCCTCGCAGCGTACGTCGACAAAATGGCAACTTCCTCTTTTGATCGTTGGACCGCCCAATCCTTGTAGATGCCGGTCAAAAGGGCCTTATACTGCAATATTTGTTAAGGTTGTATAATCTGAAGGAACAGCTACGTTTGCCAAGCGTCTTCTCACCTTTGTAGCGTTCACGATATAGTTACCCTGTTTCACTATCACCAGAATCATCGCGGATGCGGTCCCCAACTGCTCTGTTATGACAGTTATGTTAAAAAAGTGAACCATTCTTGCTACCTGAGGTCAAAGTGAAGTATTATTAAAAAAGCTTGTATAAATTTTAAAATTTTTGCGGAAGGTCAACGAAACATAACGGAAACACTATTAATCAAGAACCTGCACGACGAGAGATGGTACGATGATAATGTACGTCATGGTCCACAGTATGTATTTGACTAATTTATTTTGATCAGGCCAAATTCCGCTGTACTTTGCGAATTTTTTCGTAAACTTCAATACCTTGTCTTCCACCGTGGCAGTATTCATGACGAAGCCTGGATTGAACTAATGAAAATGATAGCACAGATATTTCCTTGATCGCTCCGATGATACTCTATACCATTACCGCTGCAAGATAATGTAGCTTTATGATACGCGTTAAAAATTCACCCCAAAATGCTTCCATACTGAAGTTGCTGTCATCCAAATGTCGCTAATGGAATTGCGTACGTACCAACCATTCTACGACCCTTTAATCATTTATGTATGGAATAGCAGTAAGAAAATTTGATGCCTACATCGTGCGTAAGTGTATGCACGAAACGACTAGTACTTTATTAACCGTGTATCGGCAGTGGCTGAAATGCTAGTCTTTAATATAATACGGCGAACAAGACTAATTATTTAATTATGTTCCATTTGGAAATGTCACGAAGTACATTACACAGTACACCATTTTTCACGCAATATCTAGTCGTCTCGATTAAGTCAGTAGTTTCAGGAAGATACTTACACACGTTGTTTTAATATAGAGTGTGCTGCAGTTGGTGCGCATTTATGTGAACTCTGTTTCATAATTTAAATTCCGCCGAAATATTCGTGAAAAAGTGTATACGGTAGTGAATTATCCGATAATAAATACACGAATAATTGACAGTTAATTCGATTGTTATTATCCTATTACAGTGTTCCTCAACCCAACATACATGTTTGAAATGATTTGGTATGTGCAGTATTATATAAAAAGAAATGCAAATATTATATTATAATAGAATGTAAATATCGTATTATATTATCTAAAAATATTATATAAAGTAAGCTTGTATAATACAAAAATGTTTATAATAATGATATTACTTCCTGCAGGTGATTAATAATATTTAGTGTTAATCCTACTAGTAAATTTTATTTTATAATAACGATTTTAATTTAATTTTTCATTATTTCCATTTATTTCTAGAAAATTGTGAGGCTACCGATTTCATTTCACGAGCGATTAAAAATTTAACGCGACCACGGATTTAGAAACGCTGATTTATTGGATATACACAGAGCCACGTCTGGCTTGATTCATGTGTAATACATAAATTTTATTTTACCATGATTTACCAGCAATTTTCTCTAACATGTGTTTTAATTAACTAGTATCGTGTCAAAACTTTTATTTTTATCAATTCGTACAAGTGTTTCATTGTAGCCATATTAATGTATCTGGTATGAAGTATGTAATCTATTGTTTCATTTGAAGGTATATAGACGATACATATATCACTGTTACGTTGTTTGCATTACAGTATAGTAAGAAACAGACGCTTTGATGAGCTGAAAATGCGAGTTTCGTTGATATAGATAACTTTAAGGTCTTGAAAAATGCATTTAATATTAGACTATTTATGCTACCTCTGCGAATGATCGCAAATTCAGGACTATTAGACCGCCTGCTGTTAAAAGGGGTGGATTTAGGCAACTTCTTAACGACAATATGTATAATGCTTGTGTTTCAGGTGAGAGAATATACCATGGCGATTCGTATCTGCAAAGAATAATTTTCTTGCATTAAAGAGGAAATCAGGCTAATTAGAACGAATGTGTTACACTTGGAAAGTGGTTCAAACAATCAAATTCTCCGATCAAAGTGTAACACTTAATTGGTACTATAATGCAAAATTTTGTGACGTTAATGTATATTATTGATGTAACAACGCAATGTTACTAAACGTGAGTAATTCGATATTTTAATGAATAAAAGGAAAAAAAAGATTAATGTAAATTAGTGATTTAATATTTACGTTTACTCACATAGAATTATAAACGTCCTGTAACTCGTTAATCACAAACTGTCCCTGGACGGTTAAAATAAATGCGTGAAACAACTGCGCAAATAGAAAGATGTATTGCACTAACCACTGTGTTCCACGATGATTGGCCACCTGAATTCAAGTAGCGTACAGTTAACGACATAGAAAAGTATAAGAATACCGTGAAGGAAAAATATCGTACCTGTAACAACGACACGCTTATAATTATAATCAGCATTCCCATAGTAACGAACATGTAAGTATGATGATTTTTTTCGATTAACAACAGATATCTATTTTAAAAGGTGTAAATTAGCCTGTCAAAATGTCGGTAAAACTATATCCACTTTTTTCCTGGCATTAAATATATATCATCGTATTAAAGAGTATAAGAACAGAGAGAAATGATGTTTTAGATGAAGCAAATTTCAGTGAAACTTCGTGGTATTTTAATTATAATTGAGGACGTTTCTTAAGAAGGTACCTGAGTCCTTTTAAACGCCTTCGGGATTCGCAATGAAAGGTACTATTCTAGTTAAATGACATATTTGGCAATTCATAAATAATAATACTAACTTCATAGCGTGTTGATGTGCCTTGATCGAATTACATACGTTTTCATACCTCACTTTCTCCAATAATCTCGAATTATTCTTCTGGTAAGAATCGGGCAAATTTTTATTTACGGTTGTGAACCGATGTCTATACGATGTTTTAAATAAATATAAATATCATTTATATAAGGATTTTCATTAAAAAAAATTGAATTCTTTTGACAAATAATTATTTACTTGGCGATGGCCAGCAAGCCGCAAGCGTGTTGCACAGCGTATACATAATTGGTATCACAAGCACAGTATATGCAACCGAGCATGAACAAGATAATAATCATATGTCCTAATATAAGCACGTAGTATTTTTCATCATCTAGCCAATAATAGGCTGGATAAATTAACATATGTCCTCGCGACTCGTTTAAAGGCTTAACGAGATCCAAGATGGTCGATACGAATGGCCAAGAAATCATTAAGCTACCAGTAGCCAAAACATGCACTGTGCAAGAGAGAGATAAAATACCGATTATACGCTTGTTAAAAATAATATTAAACATAATCCGGTTGCATCGGGAATAAAATGAAATTTATCTCACGGAAGTAGCTTATCGTGATGTACAGCCCTCTTTGCGAATATGTGACCATGATGTCGTACTCCTCTTTCGACTTTATCGCAGCCCAGTCATCGAATATGTTGTTTATCAACGATGTTAGCTGTAATTAGGGCTTTTACAAATGAAAAATTTTAACACGTGACATAATTACGACGCGCACTGAATAAACCATCATTCGTGTAACATTGCAAGAAAATCGGTCTACGTTTTAATTTAAATTTGAATTTTAATTGTAAATTTAATCAAGCAATTATGCATATTTAAGCTATTATTTATGCATAGCGTGTTAGCTACTTACCTTCATTTCGTCCAGAAAGTAGTTACCCATTTTCACGAGCGATCCAAGCACCAAGATGTAATAAGGCATGCTCATTATTGCACCATCCAGACTTGGGAACGATATAAGAAACGCGGTCTGTAATTATAAAAATCGCTTTCAACGTCTGAGTAATCTCTAATCCTTCGAATCTTAGACCCCGATGCCTGTCTAGAAATAAATCAAACACAGACTTTATTTGATCACGACCTAGAAAATATAGTCTGGACTCCAATATTAGCTTTCCTATTAATAAATTAATAAATTATTTATACAGATATACAGTATCTTCATTCTGCGAGAGTACATGTATGACACGAAGATAGTACCCAATCCTATCCTTGATATTCGACTAAAATAAATATGAATAATAATGAATGACAGAAATTGTTCTATTTAATGATCTAGTTTCTCGCGTTATTAATTAGTCAATGATGAACATGATTTATAGTCATACCTGGGTAAGAATAGAAGTAGATATTACAGTAACAGTCATGATTCGTCCCATTAATTTAGATCGAGCACTTTGATACGGCCACACACCGGTTATTATGCCAAATGCTCTGTTAACTTTCAAAAATCGTTTCTCTACTGTATTCGGGTCCATAGTCAGAGCGAAATGGTGAACTGAAAGAAGACGACTACTGCCAGAACTATTGTCGGCCCAATTGTCGGATCAATTGTCCATTGTCTATTATCGGTTATCTTATAGGTTTCCTTCCCATCGTGTAGTCTCATATTAAATCATTTCCTCGACAGCTACAAGCCTCTAGCATCGTAGTCGTAACCAGAATCATATCGACATGTCAATCCACGATTATTTATTTATTCTTTCGTACATCGAAACAGTGCCTTTTTATACAAAATTGCATAAGGAAAGCGTCATTATACTTGTCTGAAAACTGAACAGTAATCTTCGACGTAATGAGAACTAACTATACTGATGTGAAAATGGCAGGATTGCATGAAAAATTGACAGTTAATTGCTGGCTTGCTGGATACCAATCTTTATTACCTTGTCATCCCAAGGCCCACGAGAAAATTTGTTTCGTTGCAAAATTTCATCTACCACAAGACGTGAGTAGTATGATCGAGTGAATAGTGACACTAGAAACGATGAAATCACGATAAACATTATGAATCGTTGAATATGTATCCTCTTCCTTGTTAGGTAAGGCTATACTTGTCCCGTTTTATTAATTATGCTCAGAAATTCTTCCTCAAACATGTTCATTTCCATCACGGAACTGCGATCCTTAAGAAAAAGAAACGATAGCAATACCTTTTGATACCTTCGATTAATTATCACACATATGAAAACAGAATAATTTATTTTAACTAATAGAATTACGATTGCCATTTTCCTCATTTCCCTTTTAAATTGATATTGCATTACTATTAACGAATGTGAAAATGTTTTCATATTATCAACTCGGTATAATGGAAGAGTACTCTGAAAGAATGGAAATAATTCATACGCTGACGGTTATTAATAGAACCTAAGGTCCCCTACGTATAGAAGGTGAAAGAATAATGACGGGAACTGTACCTATTCATATTGGTTCCACGATGAACGACATTTGGTCTTGGTCGCAAGCCTGATCAGATAAAGATGTACTCGTTTTGGTCAGCTGCGTAATACTTTGCAATTTGCAATAATATAATTGTAAGAATCATTTGGTCAAGGAACTATATTTTCCTGGTTTTCTTTTTCCTTTCTGACGTAGGAATCGTATGTCGAGGAAGAAATTAAGTTAACGTGGCGGAAGAAATGAGCGAGATCTTCTTTTCCTCTTCTTGAGTGAGAAGTTCTGATATCGTTGGTGACTTTTCACAGTGTTATTAAATATCGAATATGTGTAAAAAGTGATAAGTTTGAATTATTATGTTTTGAACGGAAAATGGAAAGCAATTTCCGACCATCTGTGTTTTCTTTTACAAATTTAACACATGGAATAAATACGACGATGCGAATGAAATTATAGTGTCTATATCGTGTAAAAATCGTGTAAATATGGTGTAATTATCGTAATACAGTCATCGTGTAAAGAAAAAGTTTTAACATACATTTACTATAAACTATAGAAAGAGGAATTTTTATAATATATTAGAATTTGTTAATAAAAGTAATATCAAATTAACAAGTTAATAAAATATGTCGAACATTTACCGAGGCTAAAAACAAACGTTAATTACGATATTTATTTTTAAAATCAATTTACCTATGCCAAAAATTAATTCAAAGGTGCTATTAATTAAATTTTTATTTAAATTCGTTCAATTCGAAATAGCTTAATTATAATAGTTGCTGTGTAAAAGGTGTGTCATATTATTTGTAAATGTGAGGTTTAAAAGAATTGATCTTATCATATTTATGTTTCTAGTTACTTGGACTTTCGGTGGTATCAACAATGGTCAATCATTTGATTTTGCAGGTATTATCGAGAATATACTACTAGATTGTATACTAAATTATAAGGGTACTCGTCTCTTGATTAACTATTTGTTGTGAAGAATAAATAATTCACAATTTATAGGAAAAGGAACTTTATTTTAATACTTGTTTTAAAAACGAGTAATCACAGTAAGAGCTTTCGTCCCACACTGGCTTGTGTGGATCTTTCTGGAGAGATTCGCCAGATGTCGCTACCGGATATATACGACGCTATGTGCGGCTGTCCCACCACAGCTTCTCCCCACCACGGGAAATTGAATTTGGCACGAATGTTACACTTCTTTTAGTTACAAAAGTTCCTCAAAGTTCATTTGTACTATCGTCTTATTTTCATGATCCAAACTTTCTATGGGAAGAATATATTTGTGCATTTCCAGATACCCTGGAGCAAGATTGAGTATGGTGACTAAACACTTCTGTAATTTTTCTATTGCTGCTTTAGTTTCTAGAGCAAACAATGACGAGATCATCTCTAAGGCATCCAATATTTGTTTGATAGGGCTGGTTTTCATGCAAGATCTTATTTCTGTTGCTATGACGTATCCACTGTTGGTGTACTCAAAAATTTTATCCGCTACTTTTGCCAGACGTTTCCTATGTGTTTGCTTATCTATTTTATCTCTTGATCGTTTTTTATTGATTGTTTTGATTTCCTTCGACCTAAATTTTGCGTTGACCTGCAAAAATCAACTATCCGGCTGTACTCTGAAAATGGAAGCAATTTCATGTCGACCTTTCTAGAGATGTTTGCCAGATGTCGACACCAGCGGTTTTCGGCACTATAGACGAATGGCTCGCCACAAAATTCAGACAATGTAGTCCCTTAGAATAATAATCGCAACTACGTCCTCTATATTACCTTATGAGTAACCAAATGTCCTAAAAACTAAAAATATATACAAATTTTGCGCTTATACAAGCAATATCGATAAAACGTAATTGAATATTCTCAATTTTTTTAATTATTGATGTTAATAATTTTATTTTTTACGAAACATGTCAAAGAGTTTCTTAATTTTCTTTAATTTGTTTGAAACTACAATGTTTACTGAATAGCATTTAATCGGACCAATCGAAGTGCAAACTAACAAGTACAATATTGTCAATATTAACGCGAAGATTAATTCTTCGAGCCTCTCATTTTCTATCATCACTTCTTTAGCCTATGTAGACCTTAGCATTGTATAGTACGAGAATGATACTTTCATGACCTGGATAGAATTTCACAATTATGTAATGATTCTTATCGAAGTAAAAATATTAAACGAAGGTGACTAGCTGACCTGTACAAAAGTTTCCAAATTCAAGTAGACCATTTTCCCGCCTGTCAATATAGGTGGGTCCAAACATTTCCTCAGCACCAGCACGTACAACAATCGCGTTCTCGGTACACCCTTATACCAACAGTTTTCACATCTATACAACGAATACAACGAAACGTGAATTTCACGAATTTCATTTCAATTTTATACGAATTTCGTTTCGATAAAGCAAATTCACTCAAATTTAATCAGAATATTTTCCTCGGTTGAGGAATATTTCTGTAAATACCTTTGAACGAAAGGAAAATAGATGTATAGTATTTATTCACATTGTCAGGAAGGTTTCATCGTTGGTATTGATCACGAACTGCCCCAGGATTGTTAAGAACAAAAGATGAATCATTTGACCCATAATGCAAATGCAGTAGATGAAGAATCTAGGCCCAAATTCCATTGTCGCCACCTGATCTTGGACAGCAACATCGTACATTAAATCACGAGATCTAACATGATCTAAAGTAGTTCGTAAGTAGATCACGTGGTTCGAGAAATGGTAACTTGCCATCACAAAAGTAAGTGTGAACACAGTGACTATCGATGCTATCATGATGAGGAAGTAATTCGTGTGACAGGCTTCGATTTTATCCACATAGCTGACATAATGTTGTAACAGAAACCATATGCGTGAATTGAAAATGACAATGACAATAACAACAATCGTGTATATAACAGTTGGTTCATAGTTGGTTCAAAGAACGTATCGCGTGCACGTAATATCGATCGAACCTGAAATTACAAGCGTTACGAATTCTTAAATAATAATTTTCGATATTTGACAACAATTTATAAAAAATTCAAGATATTTGAAATGGGAATATTTGGAATTTGAATTATTTCCAAGAAGTCTGACTCGAATGTCTACGACTTCAACGTCATTCTAGCGTGGCTTAATGACTTACTAATTTACCATAAATAAATAAATATTTAATAATCGGCAAACGCGTTGTATCGTGCAAACCAAATATACGAAAATTTCTGAACGCCATTATTACGTATAACACTGTCCTATTCAAATTTCATTTATGCAAATTTATTTGCCCAAATTTAAACTGGCAGCTAACAGATAAACACTCGACAATTTACGAGCGGGTAATATTATTCGGACCAACGATACTTAAATTACCCGACGTAATTATTATTTACAACTATTGCTTACTCAAATTTAGTTTACGCAAATTCGTGCAAACAAATTTAAATATATGACAAAATAAATAAATACTCTATAATTTCCAAGCATGGTACGGTCCTCGAACCAACTACACGTAAATTCCTTATAACTTACAAATACTAACTCAACAGCACTCTTGTGAGCCTCAACGGATCGCCTCACTTTCGCATAGGCTCTATCTATTCGCTCGGCATTTTGATTTGCCGGATCGAAGTCATCCAAGGCATGCTTGAAACGATACCTGCATTGACATTTAGAGTAACAATTCCGAATGAGGGGTAAAATACCAAAAAAAAAAAAAAAAAAAAAAAAAAAAAAAAGAAAAGAAAGAAATGGGAAGAAATGTAAAAGTATAACAAAAGAGAAGATCGGCATGAGAAGATCGGAAGTTGTAATCTAAGTAAGTCTTTCATTTCGTTACAAACTTACAGGTGTAAACCAGTCATCTAACAAAGTACTCACCCACTGATATACGACAACGCACAACCATGATGCACAATGTGAATCAGATGCGTATCGCAGGCAATGAACATGGTTATGAATATCACCGTCACCAGCTCCATGTGCACCAGTTTGGGGTAGTAATACCGTTGCTCGTCAACGAAATAGTAAGACGGGTAGATCAGTTCACGGCTTCGTGACTCGTTCAATGGCACGACGATGTTCAGAACAGATGGTATGGCTGGTATCAGGATGAACATGGACCCGCAGCCAATCAGCGTGACTGATTTCCAGCAACAATTCGGCATAAATATTAACGGGGTTAAATTAGATGAATTAATTAATTTACTTTCGGGAAGAGTTATCGATATGTCTCTGAATGCTAACGAAGCTAAATTAGACGAATGTGCATCGGTTTCGGCAAGAATTATTAATATCTTCGTTATTAATTTCTATTTGCATGACTGCTGGCTCTTTTCGACAGCTTTTAACGTGATAAACAATAGGGAATAAACGAAGTAGTAATATTGCAATACCGCATTGAGCGGTGCAGTACGTCGAGAAATAATTCGTAATTTTATCGCCACTCTCACATTTTTATATTATTATTACTGATAAACATTACCACCAATCCGTATAGTATTTATCGAATTTTGAAGAATTTATTGCTTTCGTTGTTAGATTATTTTAAATTTCGTAACCTGACAGAGCGTGTCCTTTGTTTCACCTTTGTAGAAGAATGAGAGGACTAGTGCTCTCTTGCCGTACATTTCCAAAATCGCTACCTCGTCTTCTGGTCGGTCCATCAGTCGATCAGACACGATGTTATGTAGAAGTTCCCTTAGCTACGATTTTCACCTGGTTAAGTATCGTGATCATCTTAGGACGTGAATCGTCTATTACCTTGTCCTCGTTCAGGATGTAGTTGTATTGTTTGATCAGAAGGGCGCATCCTATAGTCAGATACATCACTTGATCTGCTAGAACGTTCTTGTCAAAGAACTTCACAATCCGGGCTATCTGCAATGTGAATTTTATTTCATGAATTACCTAAAAATACATTATTTGGATAATGATTATCAGACTAATGACAACAGATGGTAACAGAATAAACGTAGTTGAAAGGTATAAAAGTCATTTATTAAAATCACTTTTATACATTTATTATCATTTATTATTGGGGAAAATCAGCAAAGATGAGAGTAAAAGGTCTATCATTTCAAAGCATCATTAAAAATGTTTAATTAAATAATTCTTACAAAATAGAAATACAAATTAAAATTAAAATATTTAATGAAAAATTAAGTTTATTAATTCTCAATTAAGGAAAACTTAATAAAGTAATAAAATAAAGAAAGTAATCGCACATTACTTTAATTCCTCTACTGATCCGAATTTTACAAACTTCTACTGTATTTATTATTTTCAGATCATTTCCAAATGCTGTTTCGTTTCTTTTTCCTACTACTATGTAATACTTGCTTACACGGGAAGGTGCGTAACTGACGGTGAAAGAGTAAAAACGTATCTTATTTTAGTTTAACCATAGTATTGTTACCTGAGTTGTAAAAGAAAGTATCATCGTAAGAAGTACGAACGATCGTAAAAAATATTTCAGGTATTTTTCTTGATTAGGCCAGACTCCAACGAGCCGACCAAAGAATCTGTTGTCTCCTAAATATTGATACTCGATTGCTTCCCAGTCCATGATGGGTCATATGGTCACATTGTACGGTGATATCATCCAACAAGAATTTTATGTTACATTAGTATCGAATTAACGTCCAGCTGGAATTAAATAGTACAACAGAAGTATAACGAATCAAATAAAATTACGTACAAGTATTATGGTCAGTCTTGACACTGATCCCATCACAATTATCTAACTGATAGATTGTTGATAGGCTGATAAAATATATAGTGAGCAAATTTTAGAAATAACGAAATAAAAAAAAAATATTTAATTATTGGAAAATCGATTATACGTTTATAAAGAAAAGAATTGGTAAATCGAATGGAAAAGGCGATAACCTTAAGTGCAAAATTTTTAATCAAAACCTCAACGTTAGAACTACCGACCTGTAATACATACTTAAATACAGCACCCACGCAGGTAACATTGATTAAAGTGGTACGATGAAAATATAATAGGTAGAGAGTCAATATTAATTTTACCAAGAGCAGTTGAATACTTGGTAATTGCCAACACAAAATGTCCAGAATCTTGACCTGTTCGATAGCTCTGATATTGAATGAGAACGAAAGAAAGTTAAAATGCACCAAATAATTTTTATAATAAATTTCAGAATCGATAATTCCTCTTATTTACTAAATAATGGCTCTTTGAACCATGCTAGGTTCAGTATCACTGATCTCTCTTATTTATGTCTTGATTCTTAATCGTTTACCAACGGTGTGCATGTCAACAGCGAAACTGGAACGACGATACTAAGTCCTATGACGTCTGGTACGAAAATAATAACTGTATAGTTTTATTGTTTTATCCGGTTACCCGTAATTTTACACAGCTGCTCGGGATTGTTTAATTTATGCGACAAGTGGGAGCACTTTCTACCGGTTATTAGTCGCGGTAGTGGTTCCTGAATTTTTCTGCGCGAGATTAACAGAGGAATTAAAAAGGTACGAAAATTGATATTACATCTACTTTGAGGCGATAAGAATAATTCATATGCAACAGATGGATAAGTGAGCCGATATGACGAATATGAAAAATTAACGATTGGAGTACACGTTACATTACAGGTAGTGCTTCGCGCGACATATGAATCGTTTCACGTAGGCCGAGGAACAAGCTAACAGTATTTTTCGATGGCTTTGTATGGGGGAATCTGTTCAAATAAATGTATGTACTTATGTGTATGGTGCAATGGGTAATAGATAAAGTGCGTGCCATAACGAACGAATGCAGTTCCAGTTTCTTGTTTTTATCCTATTTCTATTTGAAATATACGATAAGTATCAAATTGAATAAATATCTATTTGAGAATGATTAAAAATGATCGTAAAAATGATTTATATGTATATATTGATCATAATACGAATTTAATGCTTGGGATTATACACGTATCGCCATCCATTCGTTGTTGCCTGAACTATGACGTCTGCATTACCCTGTAAGTAATTCTATTTCTCTGAAAATTTAATATTTGAAATAATTCGATAATTATACAAGGATTTCTACCTTAACGCGATGAAATAACAGTACGACACTTATTATTTCTTGCATTAATCAGCATAAGTTGCATATTTTTGTCTGAAATTATAGTACAGCCGATATACCACAAATTTCGTTAGAAGTTTGGGGTTATCTTTCATAGATGGCAGTGTATATCACCGCCAAATTCGAAAAAGATATCCTACCTTTTTTCCTAAAATACTTTCAGGAATTAAATTAATAATAAAGAAAAAAACGTTCATCAAATTAACACTATTTTCATATTTAATTTGTTTGAAACTACAATGTTTACTGAATAGCATTTAATCGGACCAATCGAAGTGCAAACTAACAAGTACAATATTGTCAATATTAACGCGAAGATTAATTCTTCGAGCCTCTCATTTTCTATCATCACTTCTTTAGCCTATGTAGACCTTAGCATTGTATAGTACGAGAATGATACTTTCATGACCTGGATAGAATTTCACAATTATGTAATGATTCTTATCGAAGTAAAAATATTAAACGAAGGTGACTAGCTGACCTGTACAAAAGTTTCCAAATTCAAGTAGACCATTTTCCCGCCTGTCAATATAGGTGGGTCCAAACATTTCCTCAGCACCAGCACGTACAACAATCGCGTTCTCGGTACACCCTTATACCAACAGTTTTCACATCTATACAACGAATACAACGAAACGTGAATTTCACGAATTTCATTTCAATTTTATACGAATTTCGTTTCGATAAAGCAAATTCACTCAAATTTAATCAGAATATTTTCCTCGGTTGAGGAATATTTCTGTAAATACCTTTGAACGAAAGGAAAATAGATGTATAGTATTTATTCACATTGTCAGGAAGGTTTCATCGTTGGTATTGATCACGAACTGCCCCAGGATTGTTAAGAACAAAAGATGAATCATTTGACCCATAATGCAAATGCAGTAGATGAAGAATCTAGGCCCAAATTCCATTGTCGCCACCTGATCTTGGACAGCAACATCGTACATTAAATCACGAGATCTAACATGATCTAAAGTAGTTCGTAAGTAGATCACGTGGTTCGAGAAATGGTAACTTGCCATCACAAAAGTAAGTGTGAACACAGTGACTATCGATGCTATCATGATGAGGAAGTAATTCGTGTGACAGGCTTCGATTTTATCCACATAGCTGACATAATGTTGTAACAGAAACCATATGCGTGAATTGAAAATGACAATGACAATAACAACAATCGTGTATATAACAGTTGGTTCATAGTTGGTTCAAAGAACGTATCGCGTGCACGTAATATCGATCGAACCTGAAATTACAAGCGTTACGAATTCTTAAATAATAATTTTCGATATTTGACAACAATTTATAAAAAATTCAAGATATTTTAAATGGGAATATTTGGAATTTGAATTATTTCCAAGAAGTCTGACTCGAATGTCTACGACTTCAACGTCATTCTAGCGTGGCTTAATGACTTACTAATTTACCATAAATAAATAAATATTTAATAATCGGCAAACGCGTTGTATCGTGCAAACCAAATATACGAAAATTTCTGAACGCCATTATTACGTATAACACTGCCCTATTCAAATTTCATTTATGCAAATTTATTTGCCCAAATTTAAACTGGCAGCTAACAGATAAACACTCGACAATTTACGAGCGGGTAATATTATTCGGACCAACGATACTTAAATTACCCGACGTAATTATTATTTACAACTATTGCTTACTCAAATTTAGTTTACGCAAATTCGTGCAAACAAATTTAAATATATGACAAAATAAATAAATACTCTATAATTTCCAAGCATGGTACGGTCCTCGAACCAACTACACGTAAATTCCTTATAACTTACAAATACTAACTCAACAGCACTCTTGTGAGCCTCAACGGATCGCCTCACTTTCGCATAGGCTCTATCTATTCGCTCGGCATTTTGATTTGCCGGATCGAAGTCATCCAAGGCATGCTTGAAACGATACCTGCATTGACATTTAGAGTAACAATTCCGAATGAGGGGTAAAATACCAAAAAAAAAAAAAAAAAAAGAAAAGAAAGAAATGGGAAGAAATGTAAAAGTATAACAAAAGAGAATATCGGCATGAGAAGATCGGAAGTTGTACTCTAAGTAAGTCTTTCATTTCGTTACAAACTTACAGGTGTAAACCAGTCATCTAACAAAGTACTCACCCACTGATATACGACAACGCACAACCATGATGCACAATGTGAATCAGATGCGTATCGCAGGCAATGAACATGGTTATGAATATCACCGTCACCAGCTCCATGTGCACCAGTTTGGGGTAGTAATACCGTTGCTCGTCAACGAAATAGTAAGACGGGTAGATCAGTTCACGGCTTCGTGACTCGTTCAATGGCACGACGATGTTCAGAACAGATGGTATGGCTGGTATCAGGATGAACATGGACCCGCAGCCAATCAGCGTGACTGATTTCCAGCAACAATTCGGCATAAATATTAACGGGGTTAAATTAATCGAATTAATTAATTTATTTTCGGGCAGAGTTATCGATATGTCTCTGCATGTTAACGAAGCTAAATTAGACGAATGTTCATCGGTTTCAGCAAGTATTATTAATATCTTCCTTATTAATTTCTATTTGCATGACAGCATGCTCTTTTCGACAGCTTCTAACGTGATAAACAATAGGGAATAAACGAAGTAGTAATATTGCAATACCGCATTGAGCGGTGCAGTACGTCGAGAAATAATTCGTAATTTTATCGCCACTCTCACATTTTTATATTATTATTACTGATAAACATTACCACCAATCCGTATAGTATTTATCGAATTTTGAAGAATTTATTGCTTTCGTTGTTAGATTATTTTAAATTTCGTAACCTGACAGAGCGTGTCCTTTGTTTCACCTTTGTAGAAGAATGAGAGGACTAGTGCTCTCTTGCCGTACATTTCCAAAATCGCTACCTCGTCTTCTGGTCGGTCCATCAGTCGATCAGACACGATGTTATGTAGAAGTTCCCTTAGCTACGATTTTCACCTGGTTAAGTATCGTGATCATCTTAGGACGTGAATCGTCTATTACCTTGTCCTCGTTCAGGATGTAGTTGTATTGTTTGATCAGAAGGGCGCATCCTATAGTCAGATACATCACTTGATCTGCTAGAACGTTCTTGTCAAAGAACTTCACAATCCGGGCTATCTGCAATGTGAATTTTATTTCATGAATTACCTAAAAATACATTATTTGGATAATGATTATCAGACTAATGACAACAGATGGTAACAGAATAAACGTAGTTGAAAGGTATGAAAGTCATTTATTAAAATCACTTTTATACATTTATTATCATTTATTATTGGGGAAAATCAGCAAAGATGAGAGTAAAAGGTCTATCATTTCAAAGCATCATTAAAAATGTTTAATTAAATAATTCTTACAAAATAGAAATACAAATTAAAATTAAAATATTTAATGAAAAATTAAGTTTATTAATTCTCAATTAAGGAAAACTTAATAAAGTAATAAAATA